CGCGGGGCAGGGGACGCGCGAGAGGGGGGGGGCACACGAGGCGAGGGCGCTCAGGGCGCGAGGCGGGGGTCGTGCGGGCGAGGGCGCTCCGGGCGCGGGGCGGGGGCCACGCGGGGCGAGGGAGCTCCGGGTGCGGGGGCCACGCGGGGCGAGGGCGCTCCGGGCGCGGGGCGGGGGCGCGCGGGGCGGGGGCGCGCGGGGCCTGGCCCTCCCAGCCAGGAACATTAGTCTGTCAACTGCCACTTCCCGGGGGAAGAGGCGGCGGCGGAGGAATGTGGAAGGAAGACCTACGGATGTGGAAGGAAGATCTACGGGGTGCGAGAGGAAGGGCTTCTGGGAAATAGTTTAATTAATGGTAACAAGGAAACCACCGAGGCTCCCCATCGGCACGCGCGTCGCCCGCGCCCAGGGCAGCAGGGTGCGGGCCCCGGGCGCGGGCCCGAGGTCAGCGAAGGGCGGGGCGGGGCGGGGCGGGGCGCGCGCTGAGTCCGGCGGGAGTCACGGCCCTGGCTGGCTGCGCGCGCCGCGCTCTCGGGCTCCGAGCCGGGGAGGGGGGGGGGGACGGCCACGCACAACGTGTTTCTTGTTAGGGTCTGTCTTGTGCGGGGCTGTCACGTGGAAGTGCAGCCTGACTCACGACCAGCCCGCCAGCCGCTGCGGGTTCCCACGGACGCCGGCGGGCAGGCGCGGGGGGCCCGGGGTCGCGTAGCGGGCGGCGGGGGAGGGGGTCCCCGCGCCTCGGGGGGCGCAGACTGGGCGACGCCGGCCCTGCGCCCGCAGGCCCGGGCTTGTTTTCCGAGACCTTATCTCTCGCTCCAGTCAAACGTCGCCTTCAGTCCGGCAGCGGCCAGCGCGGAAGTCACGGGACGTCCTTGGCGGCCCCGCACACGCCGCGGTCGGTGGCGAAAGCCGGCCCGCCTTTGTGCGGAGGTGGAGAACCACCGGTCCACAGGAGTGCGCGGGGAGTCCCCGCCGCCCGGCCCCCGCGGGGACGCCGGGACGCGCTGCGGCGGCGGGCGGGGCGGGGCGCAGACGCCCGGCTGCTGCCAGTTACGAGCCGTGGGCGACCCGGGCGGTGGAGGGCAGCAGGTTTCCCGAAGCGCCCGCAGGGAAAAATCTGCATTTCCCCCCCTCCTTTGCCTGCTGGGCCCCTCCTGGGAGGTTATTTTAAGCCCAAATTCGGTGATCTGGTTTCAGGGTTACCCCCCCCCCCCCCCGCGCGCCAAGGTATTAAATAAACAAGTGATGCAAAAACTCCTCCAGTCCTTATGCAATCCAGATGCCGTTTCCTCGAAAACCACAACAAGCTCGGCTTCGCCGGATAAAAGGACGAGCCCGGGGTGCGCCCCCCCACCGCGTCCTGCCCGGGGCGCACGCGGTGCACATCCCCCCCCCCCGCGCGTCCCGCCCGGGGTGCGCGCTCCCCCCGCCCGTGTCCCGCTCAGGATGCACGCTCCCCCCCCCCCGCGTCCCACTCGGGATGCACGCTCCCCCCCGCGCCCCTCCCGGGGGGTGCACGCCCCCCCTGTTCCCCCCAACCCCATCGGGGTCTAGGGCCCCGATGTTCGGAACGCCTCTCCAGGATGGACGATAAATAAGAGCTGCGAACACTCGGAGACCTCGGATGCGCACCCAGCGGGGTACAGATGCCGTGAGCGGTCCCGGGAACGTTGGCATCTGGTTTGTTAAGTGGAACGAACTTTCCCGGGAGATGCAGCCGGGCCGGAGGCGGCGGCGGCGGCGGCGCTGGCTTGGAAGTTTTGGCCTCTGGATGTTCACAGTAGAAAGTGAAGCATTAAAAAGGGGGCTCCGCCTGCCCCCGCTTTGTAGTGGTAATGAGGGTGCGCGGGGCTGCGGGGCGAGAGGACCGGCCGCATTTCCCCCCCCACGGGGTATGGTGTGGGGGGGGAGTCTGTTCTGGAAAAGTCTAAGGGTCTTTTTTTCCTGCAAGCTCCAAGAATTGTGAAGAGGAAGGCGGTTGCTGGGAGGTGGGGGCGAGGGGGACCCCAAAGGTATCTTGGGGAGTCCGGGATCAAAGTGAGGACAGAGAATCCCAAGGAATAAGTAAATCTCGCCGGGGGGCGCGGAGACGCCATCCCCCCCACCCGGGGCCGCCCCCCTCCCCCCCCCCCCCCCCCCCCGCGCGCCGCGGCTGCGAAAACAAATGAAATAAAGCAAAACCGTGTGCTCTGGCAACCTCGCGGCCGCAGGACGCCTGCTTTCGCGAAGGGAAGATTTGTCTCCTCCGCGGCCCCGGCTGGCCGCCTTGCCCCCCTTCCCCGGCTCCTCAGCCTCCGCTCCCGCTTCCCCCCGATCGCTGGAAACTTAAGCCGCGAGCGGAGGCTGCAGGTGCGCGCGGGGCTGCGGCCCGGCCAGGACGAGCCCGGGACCGCCGGGCCTCGCAGGCATTGATCCGCTGGGCGCGCGCGCTGAGTGACGGCGCGGTTGCCATGGCAGCCGCCTGAGCGGCGCCGCGAGGACAAGGCTGCAGGGCGGCGTGAATGGGCGGCGTCACGCGCCTGGCGCCAGAGAGTCTGCTCCGGGGCTCGGGCTCCGGCCCCGCCGCGCCCGGCCCGCGCGCCGCCGCCGCCGCCGCCGCGGCTGCCAATTCATCACCTGTCAGGGATCACTCGGGGGGTCACGGGCGGAATGGACACAGCTGTGAGAACAAAACGGGGGGGGGGGAGACGGGAGGCGAGCGCGCCCCACGGCGCCAGTGTGCGGGGCAGCCCGGGAGGCGCGCCCACACCCGACACCACGCGGGACCCAGGCCCGGCCCCGCCACGGCGTCCGCGCGGGGGCTTGGGAGCGTCCCGAGCGGCTCCCCCGCTTTAAGGGGGGGTGGCACCGGCGCCCTGGCCCGCCGGAAGTCCCCGCCACCTACGGGCCTAGCGCGCCCCGCAGCCGGCCCACGGGAACGTTAGCGCCCCCGGAGGCAAAGCCACGCAGACACCAGGGGGCAGCGTTAACTGCCAGCCACCAAGCGCTCCGACGACACCCCACACACGCAACTGTGAGTGACTTCGCCTGCGCTTCTGGAACGGACGGACTGGTGACTCGGGCCTTCTCTGTCAATCATTAACTTGCACGGCTTCACCACCTCCTCACGAGGATCTGTACGTGGACGTGCAGCCGGGAAGGGTGCGGGCAGACTCGAACCCGGGGCCGCCGGGAGCCCCACAAGGCTTTCCGCGTATTGCGCCGCGGCGGGGTTAGGGGGGCGGGGCGGGGAGGCGTGCGGGGCGCGCCGGGGCCGGGAGGCGCGCGGGGCGGCCGCCCGGCGAGGCCGGGATGGAGGCCGGCGCGGGGTGACGATGTCCTGGGAGAGGCGGGGAAGGCGCCAGCACCGCCGAACTGCGATGTCCAAGAATCCCGAGGAATAATTCGAGAATCCCCCGAGACGGCTGTTTACATCGGCTATTATTGTAAAATAGTCAAAGTCTCACATCACGAACCAAAATAGTGTCAAAACAAAGTCTGTCGCGCCGAGGCACGTCTGTGACAAACGCACGCACCGAGCACATCCAACGGCTCGGGGTGGGGGGCTCGGGGAGGAGCGCGCGCCCGGGCGGAGCGGGGCCCGGGGAGGCCCGCCGTACCCCCGGGCCGGGCGGCTCCCCGCCGCGGCCGCCTGACCCAAGGGGCTGGGTCGTGGGGCGATCCGTCCTTCTGCGCGCCACCAACCCGGCCTCTCCGGAGAGAAGCCCTAGGGCCCGTGGCTGTCACGTGAGGTCACCGAGCGCGCGGGGGCCACCAGCTGAGGAATTAATCATTAATTGAAAGGAAAATAGGTTCCCCATCGCTGTGCTGGGCTCTGGGCCGCCAGCGCTGCCTCCTTCCTCTTTCTCAGATGCAAAGGACACGGATCGAGACCAAAATTCCTGAAGACACTAACACAGTTTCGGTGGGATTTTTCTCGTGTACTGTTTTCTGCATTTAAAAGAGTTCCTTCTGGTGATTTCTCCCCCCTCCAACACACAACCACGGGGCTTAAAGACGAGTCCGGGGACGCACCACGGACTGAGTTCGCAGCCCGGCAGCCGCTTCCCAGTGTGGGGCTGAGATTTCCAATCTCAGGCTGGGACACCGTTCCGGGCCAGCCGCGTGGAGAAGTCAGTCGGAGGCTGGGGCCACCTACCGACACCGACACCGAGCCCGCGCAGCGCGGTGGCGCTGGAATGTGACACCGAAATCACGACTTGTGCATAATTAATCGCCTCCCCGCCCCCCCAGGGCACCGACCCGCAGTCTTTCAAGGGCAGTGTATGCAAATGAAGTTTCAATATGCAAATCCCCCTAATGACTTCCGATCCGTGGGATCCTTGTCTCCGTCCAGCCTGCACTTGAAAAGGAACCCTGAAAGTGCGGTGCCCCGCACCTCGCCCCACCCCCAGGCTGTCCTGGGTCCCTCCGCGCGAGGCTGGGTAGTTTCCAGAAAGTTCTTTCATCGGGTTTCCAATAATGCCTCCCCGTAGCTCCAGGTGGCAAAATCCCACACCAAACCGCCCTTGAACGTGCCCGGGTGAGTACTCCCGAACAGTTTCCCTCGCCCGCCACCGAGACCGCCCCAGGCCGCGAGGCTGCACTTCCCCGGCTGGAAAGCTAGCTCTGCAGGGCGGTACAGTGAAAGCCCGAGGCTCCCGGGCTTCAGTCCGGTGCAGACGGCTTTCCCCGGGCACGCTCCCCCGGGGAAAGGGTCCGGCCCGGCGTGTGAATTGAGGGCGCCCTCCCCCCCCCTCCCCCGGGGCCGGCCCCCATCTCCCCAGCGCCGGGTTACTGTACTCTATTTACCGCTCCAGCTGGGCTCGCGCCCGCCCCGCCCACTGCGCGCGGATTGGCTGCCAACACGGAAGGATCGAGCGCTCGCCCCGCGTTCGCGTTGCCCAATGAGAGCACGCGCTTAGTTTGACAGACGTGGTGCCTTCCGCCAATGGGGACGCAGGAAAGCCAAATCTTGAGGCCCGGGCGAGTGAGGATAAAAGCTGCCCGACCGGGCCCGCGCTTCATTCTGAGCCTAGCCCGGTGCTGAGCGCGGCTGCTCGGTAGGCGGCGGCCTGAGCTCCAGGCAGCTCTCTCCCCCTCCCGGTCTTAACCCTCCCAGCGCGGCCAGCATGAAAGCCTTCAGCCCCGTGCGATCCGTTAGGAAAAGCAGCTTCTCGGACCACAGCCTGGGCATCTCCCGGAGCAAGACCCCCGTGGACGACCCGCTGAGCCTGCTGTACAACATGAACGACTGCTACTCCAAGCTCAAGGAGCTGGTGCCCAGCATCCCTCAGAACAAGAAGGTGAGCAAGATGGAAATCCTGCAGCACGTCATCGACTACATCCTGGACCTGCAGATCGCGCTGGACTCGCACCCCGCCATCGTCAGCCTTCACCACCCGAGGCCCGGGCAGAACCCGGGGTCCCGGACGCCGCTGACCACGCTCAACACCGACATCAGCATCCTGTCCCTGCAGGTGAGCGCCGGCGGCCGAGCGGCCCCGCTCACTCCGCTCGCTCGCCAGCCTGCGGGGCGCGCGCGGGGCGGGCGCAGCGGCGCGGGAGGCGGCAGGAAGTTCGGGCGGCCGCGGCCGGGTCCGTCTCGCCGCGGCCGGGGGGGCGCGCGCGCGCGCGCGGGGCCCGGAGGAGCGCGGGGCCCGGCTGCCGTTCCTCCCGGACACTGCCAAACGCCCTGTCTCCTTCCTCCCCAGGCTTCCGAGTTCCCCGCGGAGTTGATGTCCGGAGACAGCAAAGCGCTCTGCGGCTGAGCTCGGTGAGTGTTCGCGCGCACCCCGGCGTGTGTGTGCGTGTGCGAGGCCACGCGTGTGTCCGAGGAAACAAGACCAAGTCGAGCACGCTGGGCTGCTCTCGCCATGTTCTGCTCCCTCCTCCCCCCGTCTCGGGCCGGGGGAGCCGAGCGGCCGTGGTCACTCGGGATCACTGGACATCTTCCTTCCGAGGGGAGAAATGCCAGCAACTTGCCGTGGAAGGGGCAGGGGCCGGGCCCCTCCGCTGCTCTTCCTCTTACCGCCACACATTCCGGGGCGATCCCGGCGGGGGGACTGGGGGCCGAGCCCGCGCAGCCCGCACCCCTCCGCCGCCGCCGCCTCTCCCGGCCCCGTCTGCCGGCGGCTCGGCTGCTTTCAATCAAAGAATTGTCCGGAGAAGCGCGCTGGCGCGGGGGAGCCCGGCCGCCGGGGACCCGCGCGGGCGATCGCCCCGCGCCCCCCGCCCCGCGGCTCCGCGTTGAGCGCGCCCCGCACGCCGGGGCTGCCCGCCCCCCCCACCCCGCCCTCGTCCCGGCGCGCTCCGTGTTCAGTGCGCCCCGGGGCTGCCCGTCGCCCTCCCCGGTCCCCGTGCGCGCCCCGCGCGTGCGCGCCCCCCGCGGCCTGCCCGGCCGCCGCGCCGCCGCCTGAGGCCCGCCTCCCCGCAGTCTCTTACAGGTGTCCAGGACGTTCTTCCTCTGTTTTCTTTTTTGCACAACAACAAGAAGCCCACAGCATCTCCCTCCAGGCCGAGCTCGCGTCCGACCTTCTGTCCGGAGGACACCGGGCGAACGGACCTTAGAAAGCAAGGAAGAGACAAAAGCAAGTGCGGGGAACTGGGAGGGGGCCGGCCCGCTTCCGGGGCCCGCTCGCTCTCCGGCCTGGACTGTGATACTTGTTATTTATGAAGAGACTTTTCATGTCCTTTCTGTAGCTGGAAGGCCTTCTTTATATGTACTGTCCCCACCGCGGGGAGTGACAACACACACGTTAAAACCACAAGGAATTGCCCAACCTTAGCAGACTTTGCCTTTTCCCAAAGGTGGAGCGTGAATACCGGAAGGATTCAGTGTTCAGTTACTTACATGAAGTCTTTGGTCAAAATGTACCTTTGGACGCAAGCCTACTGAACGCTGTGTATATATTTATATATGGCTATATATGTATATGCGTGGAGCCTTGTGAACTCTTCGATTAGAGTTTTCTTGTATAGTGGCAGATGTATATTTCTGCAGGGAAATGTAATGATGTACTTATGCTGAACTTTTTATAAAAGTTTAGTTGTAAACTTAACCCTTTTATACAAACCGCCCTGGGTGGCATGGCGGGTGCCCCCCGCTGCTCCCCACGATGCTGTGCTTCCCACCCACCCACCAGCCCGGCTCAACCTTCTGTAGACTGTACTGAGGTGACAATAAACGTGTCTGGAGTCAAGCCTGCCTTCCCAATGGTTTTTCACCCGCGCTGGGGTGCGGGGCCTGCGGGCCCGGGGCTGCCGCCTCGCCATCCCCGGGAAAGGCTTCGCCCGGGGCCGGGCCGGGCCGGGCGGGAGCCGCGTGGGGTGCAGGGGCCTCGGCGCTGGGCGGGCGGCGGCTTCGTTCTGCAGGGACCCCAGCCCCGCCGGCCCCACTGGCAGGGCTCCCGGCCTCGCCCTCTCCCTGCCTGGAAGGCGGGTCCCCCCCTCGGCGGGGTGGGGCTATACAGAAAGGGCGTGCGGGTGCACCCCGCTCAGCCCCCCAAAACACTGCTGTCT